TAAAATATACAGAATTAATTGAATAATAATTTCAAAAAACTAAAAATAAATAATAATACTTAATTTTTAAATAAACAACTATTTCTAGAAAGTCAAACCACAAATAATAATTTAAATATAACCATTCAAAAAGGAAACAACTTGGGGAAATAGTTTTAGATGCAGAACTTAATAAGAATGCTTATTTGAGGTTAACAACCATTGTTTATTCTCTACTTTAGCAAAGCATTCATTGCTTTGTTTCAAGAATCGTGAATACTTAATGGAAGCAACGAATGCGTTGTCTTGCATATAGATGAGTCAAATTCTTTAACCGCCCATCGTCACATATCGAGTTGTTTGAGTCGTCCTAGACTTTTTGCTTGTGCCTCTCACATATGTATGGATGGATGTGTGCTGGGACTTTCAACAAATTTGGCATTCGTTTTTAATGTACTTGACCCGCCAGCGATAAATGTGAGCTCTGAGAGCTGAGAACCACTGTCAGACGGCTTGCTTCCCGCGCGGCTTCCTGCCTGCCTGCCTGCAGCAATAAACTGGAAAAGTGCAGCTTGGTCCTTTGGCTCCTGGCGGCATGTGGCCGTGACTGTGACTATGTGAGTGTTTGTTTCCATATGTGAATGCGTGTATGTGTGCATGTGTGTGTGTGTCACTGGCATGCTCCATTTATGCGCTGATATAAGGAATTATGCTGAAATCACGTTCCCACACACAAACCAGCAGCAGCACTCGCACCACTCGCACCACTCGCAGCGCTCACAGCAGAGCGCAGCATAAAGAGCCCGCAGAGTTAGAGGATAAGAGCTCGGGCTCTTATCCTTGCAGCACCAGCAGTCGCTGCTGCGTGGAAAATCTCAGCAGGAGCCCCGAAGAAAAGTGCTTCCTGCATAAGCGATTTTCCCTACTTATGGTCTGTATATCTGGGTGTAGGTGTGTGTATGTGTGTGTGTGTGTGTTTGTGCTGCATTCTTTGATGTTTGTTGCTCTTGTCCGTTGTTCTTGCTACCGCCTCGTACTATTTATTTTCACATGAAATGCTTTAATAAACACACACACACATACACATACGCCATCTCTTTCGCACTGTCTGTGCACACAAGCAAATTGTCTGCTTTGCTTACATAACGAAATCGATATTATATCATTTCAGCAAACACAATTTGCCTACGGCGCGCTCATATTTAAATCATTTTCAAATAATTCCAGTCAATGGAATAACGGCATTTATTTATAGATGCGAACAAATTTAGATGTGTATTTAATTAGCTAACTGCATGATTATCCTGAAATTAAAATTGGAATGTAATTGGAGGCAAATCAATTTCAGCTCCCATCCCAAATTCCGCTTAGCGAAATATCTGCGATAGAATCAGCATTTGTGATTGATGCCGATTTTATATTGTGTTAATATTTTGGCTCAACTCTGGCCGCGTGTCCTGAATGTTCGCTCATTTGAGGATATGCTTTGGGTCTGTGGAACTATAAAACGAATTCGCGCCTAGTTTGATGCGAGCACAATTGACGGCAGACACCTTTCGGATGGAAGGTTATGGTTGGTTTAACGACGACACGTTGGCATTTGGTGGTCCTTCGTCCCAATCTTGATTTGGGTATCTGTAGTGAATGCGTCTGTG